ATTTTCACATTAAACAAACACCATGAAATAGAGTGAGAGAGCATAGTTTGGACATAATTAACTTTGAACATGACTAAACTAGCCTGTTGTTTTACTAACACTTTATCTAAGTAAATACTTAACATATTTCACCTGCTCTAATTATTACAACATATTTTAGACTTGCGAACAATACACTACTATTTCCATAAGAAAACTAATGGTAGAAAAGGGGCTCCGATAGCCAAATATACACTGATGATTCAAAAATTTCATCACATCCATTGTCGACATGGACAAAACACTGATCACAACTAGGAACAACTGTTAGTTGGCTGAAGTCATATGGATGGAAATAATTCTGACTGCTCAGTCCACTGACAAGATGCCATTTTTGTTTTTTGGTAAAACACAAGCAGGATGGCAACTTCAGCTATTTTTTGTTGTTGGTTCGTTCAGCCGATTAATCAAATTCTCAAAGATGCTGTCTGTTGCAAGTCTATAAAATACTAGGAGCTAGTTTTCACATTCATGTATATACTGTTCTAAGATGGTAGACCTCAATTCAGTTGCCATTTTCCCACAAATAATACGAAATGAAATGATGTTGAGTTTGAGAAAGATGTCTCCTACTTATTCTGAAGATTTCAACTAATAATATTGAGCCAAAACTAAATCAAACTGCTTAACTTATTACTATACTCTGTTTTTAATTATTATGGTAAAAAATATAATCAGATTAATCACCTGTATACACAGAAATATATAGCATATTTTAGAAATATTATCTGTATAAATCACAATGCTTTTTATAATAGAAAATAAATGAAATGAATGGAGTTTTACGTCCTACTTTTCTGCATCATGTGGACTAATGAAGATGGGCAACGCCATGCATGGTGCAATGAGGGAAATTTTGCCAGGACAGCCGCATAGGCCTGCCCTTTTTTCGATTTCCAACTGTCGAGGTATCTTTAACGTGCACAGCCTGTAGCACTCAGTGCCTCGGTTTATTGTCCCATCCAAATGACTAGACGCTTTTTCCATGTCAGCCCCTTTTACCTGACAGGTGGAAACCAGGTTGAAAAATCCGAGGGAATTATCTTGACCTATGCCGGGATTGAACCCTGGACCTTCAGGTTAGTGAGCAAGTGTCTAACTCACTGAGCCACCGCTGCTCCTTTTTATAATAGACATTGTGAATACAGCCCCTTTGTAGAAATTATATAAAACACATCGAAATATCTCACCTTTGAAAGTTGACCATCTTGAAAGTCGTCTCCGTACAATCTTAGGCTTGGAATCAGATTTCATTTTATAAACATCAGAAAAATGTACGGTTTTCTCCATTTTTCCTCACACAAAAAAATTATATCTAAATTCACACGAGTTTTTATTCCCATTAACTCTAATTTGAACTTCAAAGTTTGAAGCTGATTTTAAGCAAATAAACCATAAAACATGAGAGGGTTAATAAATTTTTATGACCTTAACCCTCTCAACTGACTCTAGCCAAATAATTTATGGATCTAATTTAATAAAGTTAGACCAATATATATATCTATTTTCTTAATCAAATGGCCTGAGAAAACTAAAACCAATATTCCACTGTATTTTATTTGGTTTCTACTATTATTATTATTATAGCTAATTTGAATATGTATACAATACTGGTTATAATTAAAACAGAAATAAAAATAATATTTGTTTAATTTCAACACAATTGTAACTTTAAGATTAGCTTCATAAATAAATGAAATACGAAAAATAGTAACAAGTTTTAACAGAGTAACAAGTTTTAACAGAGTAACAAGCTTCAGTTTAGAGTAACAATTTTTAAGAGAGTAACAAGCTTTAGTTTAGAGTAAAAGTTTTGAGAGAATTTTTAAAGGAGTAACATGTTTTAGTTGAGATAGTAACAAGTTTTAGTTTGGAGTAACAAGTTTTGAGAGAGTAACAAGCTTTAGTTTAGAGTGAGAAGTTTTAAGAGAGTAACATGTTTTAGTTTAGAGTAACAAGTTTTGAGAGAGTAACCAGTTTTGAGAGAGTAACAAGTTTTGAGAGAGTAACAAGTTTTAGTTATGAAAGTAACAAGCTTTAAGAGTAACAAGTGTAAAGAGAGTAACAAGTTTTGAGAGAGTAACAAGTTTTGAGAGATTAACATGTTTTAAGATGGTCACAAGTTTAAAAAGAAGTTACACCTTCTTCTGTGAAAGTAACATGTTTTAGTTGAGATAGTAACAAGTTTTAGTTTGGAGTAACAAGTTTTGAGAGAGTAACAAGCTTTAGTTTAGAGTGAGAAGTTTTAAGAGAGTAACATGTTTTAGTTTAGAGTAACAAGTTTTGAGAGAGTAACAAGTTTTGAGAGAGAGTAACAAGTTTTGAGAGAGTAACAAGTTTTAGTTATGAAAGTAACAAGCTTTAAGAGTAACAAGTGTAAAGAGAGTAACAAGTTTTGAGAGAGTAACAAGTTTTAAGAGAGTAACATGTTTTAAGATAGTCATAAGTTTAAAAAGAAGTTACACCTTCTTCTGTGAAAGTCCGAGAAAAGAAAAAGAAGGAAATTGCCATGAGCAACATAAAGGCCACAGTATGCCATTTCTGGGGTTGACTTCAGTCTTGAAAATAAGAAAATAGTCTTCAGAAGTACTAAAACTGCATGAAAATAGCATAATCCTTACATATATACCTTAAACTAGAAATTTCACTTTCTTTTTCCCCAGTATACAAAGGCCAGTATTCGAGTGCATTTTTTATTTTTTGCTTTATTATAATATTTTAAATATGGTTGAAATTACATTTATAATAATAATAACAATAATAATACATACGATATAATGACAGCATTCTCACTGATCCTTTCAACTTCATTAAACTTTTCTTATTATTAGAACAATTCCATGTAACTTTCTTAGCAGACAACCTCTCGGCATTACCAATAGTGGAATCACTTCTAGAGTTTGATGAGCTACATTTTCTATCTGGTGTTTTACTTTTAGAGCCTGATATTTTCCTGGATTCCGACATGTTTAACAAACCTTCAGGAATAATATGGAATTCAAACACTACTTTTTTATAAGCTGAATCTCAAAAATATTAACATTCCATTAGAAAGCACAACGAAATTGTATGCAACTGTTATCACCAAATTTGGGTAGCACTAATACTTCAAATGTACACAAAAATTCAATACAACATATTCCACCAAACTGCCAAAATAAAGTACTGGTATTGCTTAGCTTAAAACTTCCAGCAAAGAGGCATGACAAAGTACTATGTCAACTATTGGAATTGAATGGCAACCAGAGTCTAGGTCAAAATCAATTTTTGAAAACAATATAATATTGGAAATGTTCAAACAATTCCATATTATGAGTCAAAAAATTTGACCGAACACCACACAAAATGTTGTTGAAACTAGAAACAAAGGTCCTGACAAGTTAACGTAATTTAATTTCAACGAACAATAGCCCTTCAAGTATTCTTCACTCTTATTTCAACTGCTCTCCACTAACAAAGTCATAAAAATTGATTTCCTATACTAATATACAATGTTTAATGCAAGTTATCAATTTGAAACCAGATATTACTCATAAAAGTTAGAAAAGTAATTACAAAGGACCCTATTACAAATTTTATCTGATAAAGTAAGTAATTAACTCTAACTTGTCAACAAACCATAAAGTTAATCAAATTTCTTTTAAGAAATTCTAGTTTGTACTGAAAGTTATTAGAAATAGATACAAAGAAAACTTTGGCATGAAAGATCTTGTAAATAAATCTCAGAAAAAGTAAATGACTGGAATCAAAAAATGTTGTAGGCCTCCTTTTAAAGGAAAGGTTTTTCATCCTTTTGACCAATCATACTTTAGTCTCAGAAACATTTTTTGGCTTACCTAATCAGTAATGGTGTTCATAGCTCACTAACGCAATATATACCAGAGCAGCCGGCATACCAGCCACACACTAACGCAATAATGTATACCCGAGCAGCCGGTATACCAGCTACACACTAACGCAATCATATATACCCGAGCAGCCGGTATACCAGCCACACACTAACGCAATAATATATACCTGAGAAGCTGGTAATACCAGCCACATACTAATGCAATAATATATACCCGAGCAGCTGGTATACCAGCCACACACTAACACAATAATATATACCCGAGCAGCAGGTATACCAGCCACACACTAACGCAATAATATATAACCGAGCAGCTGGTATACCGGCCACACACTAACGCAATAAAATACCTGAGCAGCCGGTATACCAGCCACACACTAACGCAATAATATATACCCGAGCAGCTGGTATACCAGCCACACACTAACGCAATAATATATACCCGAGCAGCTGGTATACCGGCCACACACTACCGGTAACGCAATATATACCCCAGCAGCTGGTATACCAGCCACACACTAACGCAATAATATATACCAGAGCAGCTGGTATACCAGCCACACACTAACGCAATAATATATACCCGAGCAGCCGGTATACCAGCCACACACTAACGCAATAATATATACCTGAGCAGCTGGTATACCGGCCACACACTTACGCAATAATATATACCCGAGCAGCTGGTATACCGGCCACACACTAACGCAATATATACCCGAGCAGCTGGTATACCAGCCACACACTAATGCAATAATATATACCCGAGCAGCTAGTATACCAGCCACACACTTACGCAATAATATATACCTGAGCAGCTGGTATACCGGCCACACACTTACGCAATAATATATACCTGAGCAGCTGGCATACCAGCCACACACTAACGCAATAATATATACCCGAGCAGCTGGTATACCAGCCACACACTTACGCAATAATATATACCGGTACCTGAGCAGCTGGTATACCGGCCACACACTTACGCAATAATATATACCCGAGCAGCTGGTATACCAGCCACACACTAATGCAATAATATATACCCGAGCAGCTAGTATACCAGCCACACACTTACGCAATAATATATACCTGAGCAGCTGGTATACCGGCCACACACTTACGCAATAATATATACCTGAGCAGCTGGCATACCAGCCACACACTAACGCAATAATATATACCCAAGCAGCTGGTATACCAGCCACACACTTACGCAATAATATATACCGGTACCTGAGCAGCTGGTATACCGGCCACACACTTACGCAATAATATATACCTGAGCAGCTGGCATACCAGCCACACACTAACGCAATAATATATACCCGAGCAGCTGGTATACCGGCCCTTACTAAGTGACGCCATACAACATCATACAACGTCATACGCTTTTACTTTTATCACTCAGGGTTCAAAGGGTGAAATATGAATGGCTTGTAATTTAATATGTCTATGATCACCATACCCACATACATTAGTTAGGATGAAATTGTTTAAAGATGGTATTATAGAACCTTGATGAAATTTGAAAAATTTTCGTAGGTTAGTTGTCAGGCCTAGATCTACATCCATTTATATATTAAACTTTTGGGTCAAAATGAAGGGGTTCACATGTTACAGAAAGCAATTAGGCCTACAAAGTAGAAGTAGGCTACGGAGGCTAGGCTTTTGTTATATAAGGAACTGGTAAACTAGAGCCACCTCTGAGCCCCTTTGGAAGGTTTTACACAACTGTAATTATTTGTCATTTAGAAAAATATTTAGTATAATTTCTTAGGAAAAACAAAAACCAATGGTCAATTTCTTATACTTTTTAAAATTGTAAACAAACGTTTATAGTTTACGTCGAATTAAGCTACTAACCAGAAGATCTTGGTCTTTCTTTCTTGGCTGTTTTTGGATTAAGTTTGCTACTCATTATTCTTTCGTGAATTTCAAAGTTACCTCTTCTTGGTTGGGAAAATATGTTATTTTTTGTATGTAAACAATGGCAAAAACAAGATTAGGCAGCCATGTTGAGTCCTTGACAACGAACCGGTAGTGGATTTTAGTACTCACAAGAATACAAGAGTTGTCTCCCTTAGAGCACCTGCCAATTTCATAATTACTGTATATTGAAGACCATTGATATTAATAAATAATTTATTTATAGGCCATAAAGCACTACAGCGAAATCTTCTGTTTAAAGCTTACTTCCATAGAGTTATGTAATGCCCAATGAATAATTAACTAGCATAAGCTAAGGCTATGAGTTAAAAAAGTGTAGTTTAGATTCAAACTTTGCCCACGTAAATCAAAGAGCCTAGCCTATATCTAGATGTATCCTAATCAGAAATCAATCTATAATCTATGAAAATATATACTATTGAAACCGTTAAATTTGGGTCTTAACTGGTAGATGGATCACATCATAATATAATAGGCTATTGGATAAATATAACTGTAAAGAAAATGAACAAAGTTTCAGAATCCAAGTCGAGACTTATGGCTCAATCTGTCATCCCTGTGTATATTTTGACCTATAGGCCTATAGACGTCGAACGTAGAATTAAGTCAAATAAGACTTTTGTATCAAATATTACACCTAATTTCTCGATACCATAGAGTAAATAACTTACCATGAACGACACCAAGCCTTATTTTAGCTTTTCCCCATTTCCCAGCCATTATATTCCAGTATATTCTCTAGATACAGAGAAGGCCTATTTCAAATATGGCGATTAGTTGATAAATTCAAATTGGCCATCATATTAATTGTGAATAATACAGGTATTGAATGTTCTATTGTCGGGTTAATAATAAGATATCAAATACACCATTACAAATGTAAATAGATCCTAAATCTATCTATTGTATTCTGATAAGCTTGGCCCAGTCGTCCATTAACTGGGTAACACCCTACTCAAGTTAAACAATACCTTAGTATAATGATGGGTTAGGACAATGTGGCTATGTATATGGTTAAAGATCGACCTCGAGAAATACTGTTCAATGTCAAGATTAGGATTTCTTTACCATAATGGAAATTAGAAACTGAAGGCTGCCAATGCCGAGCAATTTAAAAGCAATGTCCCTAAAAGCAACACCTAAAATTTGAACCACGGTGGTCCACTCCATGAACTGAAGCTTTTGCGAAAAATGGCAGAATCCACAGAAACTCCAGACTAAAGGATTCATGAATCCAGGGAAAACAATTATCTCCTGTTCTCCTGATGGTTGCTGAATCAGATTTGACCATAATGCAGTTGCTGAGAGAACAGTAACCGCTGTGGTACCTTGTTGTGTTCTTTCTGGTTAGTTATAGGCATTCTATAGACGACAATACGATGTAGTTGTTGATGTAATATTATAGCCGGTTATCCTGTCCTTTCAAAATATTTTCATGATCGTTTATTATAATAGCATCATGAAAAATGTATAGCCTTTTTTATATTCCTCTGAATGCTGTCTGAAATACGACTCTATAATTGACAACGACGACGATCATTTTGACCAGGGAGAGAGCCATCGTGCATAGCCAACTTCTTGCTATATTATTTAGAGATCATGTATCCATGCGACTTTTTTTCAGATCTTCTAGGTTTCCAACAGTCATTATATAATCTAACCAAACCAAACCAAACGACTACCATTCGAATACCAATCAACAAGAAATGCCATGATCAGAACGAGTTTAAAGAATGCAGAAGATCGAGTAACTCACGAAACACCATCCAGGGCCGAGTTTCACCGCCATGTCATTCGATCCGACCAGATCTAACGAAGAATCAACAACCAACTCAACAACACCGAATCATCCAATTTGAACCCATCCAACTACCAACAACTACTACGACTACCAACAACTACTTAGTTTGTGATATGAGCATCCGCTAGAAGCGAACGTTAACTTGTATCTACCTACCTACCCTATCCATGCGACGACGATTTTTCCATTTTTCTTTTTATCTCAAGGAAGATGGATTCAGTGACGGAGTCTGATGTATGGCTCATTAGCTCCGCCATGTTCCTTTAGCAACGGTGCGATTATTCACATCTAACCATTGTTAAAAAAAACCCATAGCTCCCCTTGCCTTTTCGACGCTTCAGTTTTTATGTTGATCTACAATCTGAACACTTAATTTCACAGAGTATCCAAGTAACACACTCTATTATATATAAGGGGTTAACCTCTCTTATTGATGTCAGATGTATATTACGAGATCTAGGGGTTAAATACAACGAATTAACCTTCGGAAGCAATGGTCGTAACCAACACATGAAGCTGCTCTCCAAAACCACATCATTTCCGGATAACTAACGACAACTTTTCATTTAAAGAAATCCCATCAATTTGAAATTCTGGTATAAAGTTAATAACGAAATATTCATGTAAAAATACTTACATACAGCTTCTAGCTTGACCTTGGCAGTGGATGGGAATTTACTTTCCATGCTATTACTACGTGAACGGGTACGTCTCTTATCGCAAATTTTCGCGTTGTTTTTTGGCATATTCGTTCAAGTGCTTTAAAAGTCGTGAAATTATGTGTGAAAGTTGTCATTAGAAATGGAATGTGGGCCCTTCATGAACACTTTGACTTGTATTTTATGGGATAATCTGTCTATTAAACATGTTTATTATGGGTAATAAGTTAAATACAATATACCATTTATCTAGCCTACTATACCCAAACATTGTCCTGTATAGAACAAACTTTATTAAAACTCGTCAAATTTTTAATATACTTGATCTCTTCCATTTTGAATGAAAATGTCCTACACAAATACTTGAGAGGTATATAGTCATTTAAGCGATTCTCTTAGGAATCATATCCTGATACAACGATTAAGTGACGATTTTATGAATCATAGGATGGGCAGAGTAGGGGAGTAGGCCTAAATGACCCTCCCTAAAAATAGATTTTACCGCCTATCGAAGCTCAATTTTAAATATTTGCCTCATATTTGTGCCAGAATGCACCAAAGCAATTGCATTTTTCAAAAGATTTCTCATGGAGAAACCCGCTCGGACGCTCTATTGAGACTATGCGCTTCCACAGAGACCAAGCAGTTTAAATCTCAACCCCGTAGCTTGTCCCCACACTAAGTCAGCATATCTTCATATTTGTACTCCCTGTCTCGAGAGACTGGCGTGCCTCCGCTGCACAATATTGCGATCTCTGTAAAATAATTAACAAATTTGACATTTGGGGATGGGTGGGGCATAGAAAAACCATTGTATTGCACATTGCCGATATTCGATCTTCATCGTCCCTTGGTGATACACATAATAGTTTGCATCTAAGTATAAAATACGAGACATTATAGTCACAGGTTTGAAGGGTCAGTTTCTTGATCGAAGTTTACTATAACGTAATACTGTTCAGACAAAATAGTATTTTCCTCAACCAATCGAGTTTCAGTTTTCAACAACGGAGTTTAAATTCATCCTGATTGACATTGATTGGTGATTATCTAGTCGTCACCTAGATCGCTCAGATCAAAATCTATAAGCTGTGGTCGCCATCGTTTACACAGACTTGGACTTAACTGCTTTATTCTCTGAAAATGTGGAACACATCCCAAAATATTTCAGCTGTCATTTTTGTTATTTTGACTTTTGTCTTACTCATTCCACTTCTACTTTCTCGAAGAGAGATAGTTATGGTTCAATTAAATAATACTGCAAACTAAAAGAGGTTTAAGTGGTAGGTTTGGAAATACTGTCCACTAATGGAAGGTATGGGGATAGTAACTGAATTACTACCCATTATATTACCAGTGGTGGAGCCAGGTTTACTTCCGAGAGGGGGAGAAATATCTGAGATTGCCCGAATTTCTAATTAAGTTATAAGATTTTTGCCCGAAAAACTTGCTTTCGGGGCACCGCCTCTGTATACCACGGTGTAAGGGTAGCTGCGAAATTCTGTCTATTCAGAGAGGGTAAGTGGTATAGTTTCTGAAATAATGTCAATTAAGAGGACGTACTAGCGTGGTCGCTGTCAGCAGAAAGAGGATAAGGGGAAGTTTCTGAAATTCTGTCGATCAAGAGAATGTAAGTGATAGTTTCTTAAATACTGTCCACTTGTAGGAGGTATGGGGTAGTTGCTTCCAACTAAGAGAGGATAAGTGGTAGATTCTGAAATACTGTCGATCAACAGAATGTAAGTTATAGTTTCTGAAATACTGTCCAACAAGAGAATGTAAGTAATAGTTTCTGAAATACTGTCCAACAAGAGAATGTAAGTAATAGTTTCTGAAATACTGTCCAACAAGAGAATGTAAGTAATAGTTTCTGAAATACTGTCCAACAAGAGAATGTAAGTAATAGTTTCTGAAATACTGTCCAACAAGAGAATGTAAGTAATAGTTTCTGAAATACTGTCCATCAAGAGGATGTAAG